TAAATTTATAGCATCAATGTTATATTCATTTTGATCTGTCTTTGTTCTTTGTTGTTCTCTGGAGATAATACCTGTTTTGCCTATGGAAATATACTGTAACCTGCACGCTTTGCAAAGAATGTAGATGACAGCAGTATCCTTTAATAGTAAGCTGGATGATGTCTTGAAGTTGTGAATGACAATGACCATTCACATGGGTAACGCAAGGGGTAAATCTGAGATTTCCCATTCAATAAGAAAGTTAGATTTAAAACCAGCTCAATAGAGGCCAAGAACACTGGTCTATATTTGAATTCAAGCAGATTTATCCCCCAATGTTCAAAAGTGTAACAAAGAAAGATACGCCCTATTTTCTGAAGCCTCTCACTCTGAGGCAGACTTGGAATGGCTAGACTCAAGAACAGGCAGTCAAATGCCTGAACCTGAGTTTAAAGAATCCAGCCCTGGATTTAAGCAAGCATTTGGACAAGGTGCAGAAAGAAGAATGGAACAAAGTCATGGCTGAATTGTGGTGATTATTTGACCCCGTGAATAATCAAGTAAATCAAATGGCCGAGATGAAGGCTCAGAAGAGAAGTGCCACTGAGAGTTTGGTTGTTTGTGCAGATGGTTATTTTAATGGATCACAAAGGCATATTTGGGGATAAATTCACCCAGAAACTTCCCAGTGAGATAATGAGGCACCACCTGGGTATGAGGGAGATCTTCATCCTAACAAAGACAGTTTCCATCATAAACAAGTTTGAAATACAGGAAGAAGCCAGCAACATCACCTGTAGCTACACCTCAGACCATTCTGCTCAGATACCTCCACCATGCTTATCTCGAGCCATACTGAGGGTTAATCAGTAACCCACACATCCTGGTGCTGTGGTGCAACAACACCAGTTTCCAGTGAAGAAGCAGGGTTATCCTAGTGATCTCATAGGTTTACATACTGCAGTCTATGCTGATGATGCCTCCACCATGAGGCCACCTAAGACAAAAGAAGTGAGGTGTTTGTTTTACTTGTGATATGTTGGGTTATTAGCATGTGAACTGTCTAACACTTTGGCAAGCTGCAAACGTGGCAAAGCTATATGTTCCAGCTGATGGTTCATCAGATGCCAGAACTAATAGAGCCCATACTAATGAGAAGCAAAGTGAGCAAGACTTTAACTGATGACTCAGCAGAGCTAGGAGAATAAAAAAAGCTGTAAATACTGCTGCTACAGCTCCGGAATACTAATGGAGCCCAAGTTGGGACTGGCCACTGCTTTGTGGGGGCACAGCAAAGAGCTTGCACAAAAGGGTTCGTTGATCAGCCCAACTTTCTCAGGGCTAGGTAGAGCTTGGTAGTACCTGTGAAGATACAAGAGCGGGAAATTCAGTTTCTGGTTGGCATAGGAACAACCAGAACACTGGTAGTTCTTGAATTATATCAAGCTATCTATGTCAGACCACTACTCTGGTCATTGGATACCTACATTCTGGTGAATGGCAATAGACAAGAAATAACTGAAGAGGTAAATCTCTAGTTGTGTTTATGAAATATCATTTAAAGAATGATATTAATAATCTAGAATCTGGCATTAACATCTTTAAGATGGATGTGCTGCAAAAGTTGTTAATCAGCTTTGCCTGTACAACTGGAGAACTGATATGATTCAGGATATTAACCTGATTTTTGCCAAACTGAGCCAAGAAGCAAGAGTGTATATAGTGTAGAGAATAACAGTGCCTCTATATAATGAGGTGATGTTCCATGGTTTACTACAGGTAAAGTCCTAGTTTTGTTTTGTAATTATGTGTAATCGGGTGGAATATTCATAGCTGCAGTAAGTGAAGTAGAAGTAACCTAGGCTAACAGTAACACTAGGGTTGGATCTGTTGCACTGTGGCCAAAAGTAAGAATGTGGCTACCACCACATTTAAGATTTTTGATTGAGGATTGTGCAAAAATCTAGATCCAACACAGAAAGAGCAACTCTGTAAATTGATGATTGAGTATGTTGGTGTATTTATGGAACCAGATGGCTAATTGAGTCAAACAACAATGACTTGTCACAATATAAATATAGCACTGCACATCCAATAAAGCGACCACCACGATAGCTTTCCAGGAGCATTGAGGACACGGCCAGCAATAAGGTACAGCGTATTTTGAAGGAAAATGTTATAAAAACTTTGGAGTGTTCTGTCATCCCTAATAGTAATTTTCAGAAAGAAGGAAGTTATGCCAAGATACTATACTGATTTTATAGGGGCAAGTGAGGTAGCTTAAGTTGATGCCTTTTCCTTACCGTAAAAAAAGTGAATGTCTGGACATATTGGTAGGTTCCTATTGATTCAACGCTTTAGGTTTGGCATCTGAATACTGGTAAGTGGAGCTGCATGATGAGAGCAGACCTGAAACAGATTTTAACATAAAAGATAGTTTATTATGTTATTCTGCCTGTATAGCATTTGCCTGCCACTTTCAAGAGGTTAATGGACCTTACACTGAAGGGGCTGCAATTGAAAGGTGCTTAGTCAATATCAAGAATATTTTGTTGTTTTGATACATATTCGAGTCTGCAGTCCAAAACTGTGACAAAGCAGGATGTCGTACAGTAGAATGTGCAAATGTGTATGCTATATGTTCACTCATGACTCCTGAACAGATACTGTAAGGTGAAGAAAGAACTGCTTTTAACTGTAATTTTCATAAAATACTATTGTCATTACTTGTGAGATGGTAAGTACTTGCCATTTCTTATGGTGGCATACAGAGAAACTGAACAGAGTTCTACAGGTTGTTTCCTAAACATGCTCATATTTGGGTGGGAAATACCGCTTCCTGTAGGCCTGGTGTATGGTCTTTCTCCTCAAGCAGATGTCCCACATTATCCTCGAGAATATTTGAAGTGGTTAAGACTTGCGTTTGCCAATGCAAATGACTTTCCTATTAACAACTAAGAAAGGTCACCTGCCATAAGAAGTGTTATAGCAAGATGGTAAAGGAATGGATGTAACAGTGTAAAGACTGGGTCTAACTGTGGTACATGTCAGCATCATAAAAGCAGTCTGAATCTAGCTGGACAAATCTCTAACTCGTACTCTGTGCTCCACATCCTTCATGTCAGCTGTAACTAACACATCAGTGGATGAATCTGCCATTTATAAGTTGTGTCTATGACACAAGTAAGCCTTTAGTGCACTAGCATGAATGAGACTGGGACTAATGAGTTGGAGCAGGACAAGAATGCCGTCTCATGCCATGACGACTCAACTATCGAGAAGGAAAAAGTTGAAAGTACTTATCTGGCTGTCCATCACTATAGGAGATAGCGACCAGATACTGAATGATCACTGCTTGATTAACTTCATAAACTACAAAAGTCGTGTGGTCAAAAATATTAATAAATAGAAGGGCATTACAACCCTTGCTTTCCAAGTCACTAATGAAATTTTCTGATGCAAAATGTTTCAAGATGTTTCGAGAAAATCACTTCCCTGATCTATCCGAGTAGCAAAACTTACGGATCATACTATCTGGTACTCGTTAGATTATCCTCCATATATCTCGAAAATATACCGATTCAACTACAGTTGTATTTTCTCTGAATGTAAGCTGATATGGAGTTGTAACAGCAAGAGTATAAATTTTAAATGCCTAAAATTTTAGGTGAAAAATCTTACTTTCGTTTAATTCTACCAGTAATTATTTGTTTCGGGATTCTTATATGGAAACACGTTATAGGACCACAAATTCCCAACGTAACTTAAGCAGGAGTCAGAAGCAGTCTGTTACAAGTCTGTCTAGAATATGTGAAATGTAGAGTATGTATATGTAGATTTTAAAAAAATCCACAAATTCAAGCACTTTCGTATAGTTGACTATTCTTCTTCCCCAGAAGTACTCATGGGTATTGCATATATTATAATTAAGTTTATTCTCGGAAATTATGGGTCGTTATATTTATCCAATAGTACAACTATTATGTGCTTGTTTGTGAGCAAAACAAAGATATAAAATGTATACTGTTGTAACTTAGCAAAGAAACATTTAGGGCTTTACAATTTCTTTTTTTCCCTTTACGACCTTAATCCCAACTAGTGTTAGAGGGAAGGGATCGCCCGGTATTTCTGTAAGCCTGTAATTTTTAATCTCGGGTAGATGCTCCAGTCGGCAACTATATAAGATGAGCATGTCAGGTAACAGGAATTCGAACACTGAAGATACCAAATCAACTTGTTTTCTAAAGAAAATCAAGCTTCAGTGGATTATACCATAGTTTCATCACGGTTCATTCCAAGACAATGTTTTATCGTTTAAAAATATTTATTAAAAGCAAACCAGTAAAATATACAATCTTAACTTATATAATGAACACAAATATCAACTGTAAGAAGAATACAGCAACAAATTAAGTAAAAAAATATACACAACAAAACTAAAGCATTTATATTAATATTAATTTTTTTGGCACTTTACATCTTTCAAAAGAAGATTGTTTTAATTTCATATACTAATATTTGACTATTAAGAGTCTAAAATATTAAACACAAACTGCGGTACCCGTCCTTTGTTCGGGTTATGAACTTAAGAAAATGTGGGTGTTGATGCCACGATAAATAACACAAAAATCCTAAATTTCACACAATTTATTTATAACATAACTTATTATTATAGTATAAGGTTTGTATATGCTTTAAGAACTCACTATGCCTATACTTGAAACATACACTGTAAGAACACGTAGCAGCTAAAATAGTGGCGGTAGGGGTGTGTTTTGTCACCCGCTTTCAACACCCACCTATTAATGTCCTTTCCACAGTGTTTCGCGTTATTAATTAATTGACGGTCATTGACTGCAAAAGTGTCTTATGTCTCGAAGTTGTAAGGTCACCAGTGAAAGTAGGAAGTGGGTATCACTCAAGAAACAGCTCTTCATATCAGCCTTATGGTGGCTGTTAGAGTGGAAACTTCATCTACGTATATGTATTATTGCAATAGCGGCGACCATTTTTTCATTGCATTTCTTCATAGAGAGTGCTAGCGCACTATCTGAGATATATTAAACATTTATGTGCCCTTTCCCCATACTGTGTGTATGTTGTGTTATAGAAAATGTTGTTTTGTGTAAGGACGTGGCGCTATCTATGAATCGAGTTGACATTAACTTAAGTCAAAGATAATAAATGCTCAATGACAGAAATAATGGAGAGTGAAGGGGTTGTAAACCCCAATAACATGTTTCTTGTTACAAACTATCATCTCATAAGTTTGGTTGAGATTGGCCCAGCGACCTAGTAGTAGTTAGATAACGGACAAACAGATACGCAGATTTTTGTTTTATATGTATCTAGAATTTTATTCTATCGTTTCTATATTCTATATGTTCTAAAACGGTCTTTTATAAACATCTAGTAAACTATAGAACTGTTTAAATTCATTTTCTTCGTGTTAATCGTTAGTCATTTTTTTAGAGAACGGAATTAGTTCATAAAATATTTGTAACGGAAAATATTATTTTAACAAATCCGGTAAGCTGCTGTTCATAGTTGAAAAATAGCTGTTATTAGTACATTTTAATGAATGTGGAACATAACATGCGTTATACTTAAAAAATGGAACATTAATAAAATACCAACTTCCTTTTCAACAGAATTGTTAAACTCTGTGGTGTGAAACTGTTAAGCATCAACAAAGAATGTGATATATTTTCCTGTAATCGCAAAATAATAAGTATAATGGGCAAACATTTCTGTGTTGATCATTTCATTTCTAACTTGATTTTGTCAGTAAACACCAAGTGTAGCATGTAATTCTCAGCTCCTAAAATTAAATTTAACTTGTTCAAAGCAGACTCATACTTGAGATATTTTCTAAATTATTCTAAAACGTTTTACAGATGTTTTCATGTTACTATACAAACGTAATTATCTTACCACAAATTTCTCCATATACTCATCTATGAAATACTGTTTATTTGTTGTTACACTCAGTGTTACACAATGGGCTGGCTGTGCTCTGCTCATCGCGGGTATCGGGTGTCGAAACACGATGATTAGCATTACAATCCCCAGTCTTACAGTTTAGCCACCTAAGGCTCTCTAAGATATCCATAAATGACTTTTTTTGTTTGATTTTTATAGTTTTTAGTGCAAGCTCAACATTTTAAGATATATTACACACGTAGATAGTCTGTGTAGAATAGTGTTTATCTGCTTTTATTACTATATAATTGCTAATTTAAAATTGAAATCAGACGTTCCACTCACTTTACAATTAAGTAGAAATAATAAAAAAAAACCTCCATAAATAACATACAAGTTAATATAGAATATACTTTCAATAGTAAAACTGATCAGAATTACTTTCCATCCTGATTCCACAACATTGTTTGGAGAATATTGGCTTACCTATGATTAATTAAGCAATAACATCAATATTGAATTAGCGAATTTATGATTGCAACAGGTGATTGAAGACTGCTGAAGTACACTGGCCATTTGAAAACAATAAAACAAATGTCATTTGAACATTATACTTAATGTTTGTCTTATTCTATTAAAGACACCTGGTTTGTTAGTATGCTTTTTTTTTCAAAGTAGCTTCCCAGTGGTACAGCGCTAAGTTTGAAGGCTTGTAACACTAAAAATCTGGCTTCGATACCTATGGTGGGCATAGCAGAGATAGCCCATTGTGTAATTTTGTGCCTAAAACAAATAATCCAATCCAACAATTTTCCTATGTACTTTTGGCCTTTTAGAAATAATAAATAAGTGAACAATCGTAATATGATGTTCACTGCTTCCCTAGCTTATTCATATGAAGGTTCAGATATATTTATTAGAAGTCACTAAGTTACTCTATAAAGAAAAGAAAAAACTAGTGTTTGGTGTTGCATAAAGTTCCCAAGTTGTTTATATAGTACAACTAACCCAATCATAAGTTTTCTTTATGTCCAGCCAAACATTACTATAGTCTGTCATTCACTGCAGTCTGAAATGATCAGATGTTGTGAGCTAATACTATCAACAGCCTTTGTGAGGAGAAATATATTATAATAAGTGGTTTTGTTGTAATCATTTAAAGACATCAATGTTTTAGCTGTAGCTAAGTAAATGTTTTGTTCTTAAACGAGTATCATCACCATGTTTATTTCTGTCAGAGATCAGATATCATTATCAATTGCTTTAAATGTAACTTACTAAATAATAATTTACCATTGGATATAAGCTTCATCATTAAATGCCTTGATTATGGCTAGATAACACCATCAAGAACATTTGCTATTCCAAGTACTTTTAACAGGAAAAATAGCACTATTATTTGGCTTAGGTATTATGATGTAACATCATAAAGACCTTTGTGTCCAATGCCAAATAACTCCAATAAACAGTTTGGTTGTTGCTGTCTGATAAATCTTTTAATCTCTTCATGCATGACTGAATAAAACGAATAAACTTTCTAAATGTACATTTGATTTATATGATTAGCAGTATATCAATAAAAATAAAATCGAGCAAATTTCATTAACAGTTCTGACCAAGTAATAATTGTATTTGTTGCCATGTCTGTTCTTTGATAATGTTATATAGTTGTTATGCTAATTACAGTTAATCATCTGCTTTCATTGAGTATCTATTCAATTATCATAACAGATTTCTCAATATATATATATATATATATATATATATATATATTTTATCAATAAAACAATAAAAGGGTTTCAAAACATAATTCCGAGCATGGGCATGTCATGGAAGACAAGTTAATCTTTTTTAAATCCTGAGCTGTTCTTTAATAAAGATGTTTTATCCTAAACCAAAATCAACAGTCCTTCACTGCAGATGTATTAAGCACAGAAAGAGTTATGTCATGTAACATGCACACAAACGTGAAACAGATATATTTACACCTTCCTATTTACAAGTGCAAAGCTCCTGAATTTTTACTCTATATTCGTGATTATAACTGGTCATAAATTTGACTTCAGTTCGTTCCTAACTTCGTCAAGAACTCGCAATTTCGTTCTATTTAGAACCTTTACAGACGTCTTGTGGTTTTCAAGATCTGTAACATTGGCCTTCCCACTTGGACTGCCTACTGTCATGAGACTGGAATGGGGAAACAGAAAGAATATTGAACAAGTATTGGATCTAACGCTTATGTATGTACATACACAAACTATGAGAAACTTTCTTTAACTAAAGTTAAAATATTTATCTTCATAGTTATACTTCATCAAAGTTTAAAATAGTGATACTCTGAATTATTTTATTTCGTATATTTTTATTATTCAAACTTTAAGGCTAATATACTGTTTTGGAATTTCATTTCTGTTCGTGAATAAAAGATTGACTTATTCTCGAGTAAATTTCTATTTTTTTGTGATTGATCTATTATCTAAGAGTTTTAAAGAAAGCTTGGAATATATGAACCTTTTTTTTCTTTCTTGTGATAATTTTGTGTTGACTTGTAATTTATATGTAGAACATAAGTAACATTTTTTATTACTCAATTATAGACCATTATAAAGAATAGAAAATTCTTACTAAAATTCAAAGACCAAGAACGTTGACGTAAAATGATAATACTAAATTATTATTTTATAATGGAATATAAATTAGTTATAAAAATACCATTAGATGGCAGCAATTTCCAGGGACATAACTCTTGATATACTTACTGCAGTCACGTTTCTGCTCCAAATGCTTTTACACTTGCCTTCGCACTCTGGACAGGGACGTTGCATAGCGTACCCGCCACACTCAAAACAATCCAAGGATACATGGTTGTCAGCCCAACTCACCCCGCATCTGCCCACAAAGAGCACAATAAGTATGAAGTTTTCACAATAAACAGTTTATTACTGCCACTGTATTTTGTAAATTATTTTATTCTGTGCAATTTAATTGTTTTATATGAATATTATTAATGAAACACAATATCCTTAATCACTTCACTTATTTTGCTCTTACGAGATATTTATAATAAAATTATATATGTTACTATCTCATACATTTAATCAAACCTTGAATCGTCAGATGACGCACTAAATTACAAAAAAGGGGTAATTTAGAAACGCCGACCAAAAACTTTTTTTTTAAAATTGTTTCATAAAGTTGTAAATAACACTTTCTCTCTCTCACACTTTTCGTTCTCGGAAATATTTATTATGAGTAAAAAACTCGTGGCCATCTGAGAATATCAGTTTCAAACTATAACAAGTTAGTTCGCTGACAAATAATGCCACTAAATGGAATTTTATTCGTGTAAAGAGTGACAAAGAGGTCATGCATGCATAATTCATTCAAATAACGATGATCGTGTAAATAACATTCGTCGTTTATTCTAGAAGGTTCGGTAAGCTTCACGAACATATTTGAGTTTGAAGACGAATGTTAAATCTGATAGTCTGTTTCATTAATCATTTTTGCTATTACTAGACTCCATTGATCACAAATTAGTACAGATAATAGTTTTTATTGCTTGCAGTTCAATTTAAATTAGTTTTAACGTATCTGTAACGACTTAATCCCAGACGTATAAACTGAAATTATAAATTTATTGTCTGAAATTAAGTTTAAATGCCAACATTGAGCTTGTACTACAAAAAATGTAAAAATCGTCTCATAATAAGATAAGATTACAGTTGTCTTACTCACTGAATAACTCTCAGATATCTTACTAATTTCTATCCTAGTAATTTGATACAATTTATATTACCACTTGCTTAATAGAATTTTCCTAGTTTTCTTTTTAATTTCTTAATCCTAAGTTGTCATAAGAACATGCAAGGACTTTTGCTGTTATTAATAACAATATAAGCTTAACATTTGATAATATATTACTTAAAGCGTTGTTATTTTCTCTAAAATTATCATATTTTTAAACATTTTCGATGTTACTTGTTTGTTGGTTGGCTTGTGAAGCACAAAGCTACAAAATAGGTTATTTGGGATCTGCCCATCGTAGATATTCAAACCCGATTTTCAGCGTTATAAGTCCACTAACTTACCGCTAAGCCACCATGAGGATTCGATGTTCTTAAACATTTCTATAATCATATTGTACTTGTTTGTGATAGAACCGATACTGGCTAATAATTTTCTTCACGCCCATACCTGTAAATCATTTTCAACAACTTAATTTTTTTTCTTTTTTTTCCATACTATTAAAAGAAATTCAAAACGTGCGAGTTCAATAAACAAGGCACGTGGAAGAAGTGTTTCATTTAAACAAAGTTAGCATACTGTTACGTCTTTGGTCGCTTGTTAATTTCCCGTAAAAATTCTTTCCGAAGAACTTCAGCGATACAAGTCCTTTCTTAAATAAAACGAGTTTATTCTTTCTCAATACAACTTTGCAATACACTTAATTTCCACAGTCACTTTAGCTTAAACACACGCTATAATTCACAGCGATTTACACACTTTACTTACGACTATTCAATTATCTATGCCGTCACTTCTCGCCGGTCTTATACATACAAAATAGAGGGCGTCTGGCAAACACTGGAGCCTTCAGGAACGTTCGAGATACTCATTACTGTTACCAGAGTCACGTGACTTCCGCTGTCATAACAATACAAAATAGAGACTAACTGAGCGCTACGCAAATTTGGCATACAAAATAGAGACTACCTGAGCGCTACGCAAATTTGGCATACAAAATAGAGACTACCTGAGCGCTACGCAAAGTTGGCATACAAAATAGAGACTACCTGAGCGCTACGCAAATTTGGCATACAAAATAGAGACTACCGGAGCGCTACGCAAAGTTGGCATACAAAATAGAGACTACCGGAGCGCTACGCAAAGTTGGCATACAAAATAGACTACCTGGGCGTGAGAAAACTAATTTTTACGTACACCCTCTGGAACCATAAAGATGTTACCGCACTGAAAATGAATAGTTTTTTTACAAGCAGCTATAACAGATGTCCGGCTGGGTCTGAGTCGTCAAACCGAATAAAATGTACCTAAGACAGTTGTACTTCCGAACGACATCAACTCTCGTCTTGGTTTACTTTGGATAGTAATAAATAAAGTTATTTATAATACTTGTACGGTGTTCGATGTTTTTCTAATAATTTTACTTTTTACATTCTGCAAATGAGGGAAATTTTTTAAATTCAAAAAGGTTACTTTTTTTTTCTTCCTAGCCATTATTAGCGAAGAGTTTGTTGTGATTGTTTAGAATGTTTTGTTAAAGTGTGCATTGGTCCATTAAAAAAGTGTTTTACTCAATATAAAAATATTTTAATCCCATCCGTTACAAATATTAAATTACTGCCTCCCAGTGGCACAGCGGTATGTCTGCTGATTTACAACGCTAGTATCCGGGTTTCGATACCCGTGGTGGGCAGAGCACAGATATCCCATAGTGTAGTTTTGTGCATAATTACAAACAAACAAACAAATATATTTACTGCAGTTTTGAAAAGGCAGTGATACAAGATGTTATTTACACGAGAAATAGCCATCGTTGACCTCAGTGACTGTGCGAGTACTGATTATATGTGTCGTCTATGGTGAGTGGTGCTGCGAAGACAGTTCAGCCTATCAGCGTGCGTTAAACACCCTGGATATATATCGCTCATGATTGAGGTGCAAAGTACGGTAGTAAATGCCAGATGGCGCTAATTTAGTACTATATATATATATAATATATATAATACGCTAAATGCTAACTTATTTTTAGTTACACATTTTTCAAGATGATCTTGGAAATTATTGTGTTTTGATTACTGTTATACAAGCGTGTGTGTGTGCGCGCGCGCGACAAACCAAACCCACCGACCAAGATATGCCACTGAGGCAGTGGCGTAGCAAGAGAGTGCAATAGCCCCCAGGCGCAGGTGTGAAGGGGCGCAGAATTTCCTCCTGCCTATAATGCCTATTAATTGATAATTATGCCCTCCCCTAGTATATAGCGCAACTGCCCTACGTTAAGTAAATACGACACAGTGTTATGTTATTTGTGTGAATCACTCTTGCAGTTTTAACTTTTAAAAGCCGCCCAATGAAATACAATGAGACCGAATTGACTTAGAAAAGTAAATTACATTATTCCATCATTCATCTGTAGATCAAATACAAGTCTTAGAATACAACGTACAAGTAAGTGTATGTTCAACAAAAAGAAAATACGACATTGATGTAACATATTAACTGGTGTGCAAGATTGGCAATATATGCAACAGGCAAGGCCTAGATCTAAGATCTAGTAAACATTATAGGCCTAATGTAGTGGTTTGTAATTGTATTGGCTGATTGAAAATCATGTCTTACACCAACTAATATACTAGACTTTAGGTCTAATTGCAGTTATAACTTTATTTCTAGACCCTAGGCCCATCATCATACAAATTGTAGCCTATATTATAGGCATACTAAGACCTATACTAACTATTAAACTAAGCATTGCACTGGTACAGATCTAATGACTAAGTTAATAGATCTAGATGTAACATTTGTTCTGAAAGCTAGGCCTAATAAATCTAAATCTGGAATTGATGAGGCAGGATTATATCTAAATCTGGGTAGATTCAAAACAAGGTGCTTTCAATCTATGCGCCCAAATCTAAGGTCTAGTTTAGATGTATAAACCTAAATTTCTATCATTATTATTACATCTAGATACAAACCTAAGACTAAAAAGATGGAAATACAGGTCTAACATTTATGTTAGATCTAGATATACTAGCGACTTAATCTAGGAACTGTGATCTAGCACCACTAATTAGTTAGCCTATATTTAAGTTTTCTCATTCTACCAAAACCTTTAATGTTAAATACAGCCTTTGAGGCGCTAGGTTTATATTATGTTATGATTACACCCTTCTCCAGTGAGTGTAATTTTCATTCGAGCAATTCAGACTTGTCTCCTGTAGCGTTCGTGTAGATAAACCTATCGAGTTTTTAAATGTGATTTAGCAACTGCCAGTAATTTATATGGTGCTCATAAGCATGATTTACCAGCATATACACTTATCTGCATTGATTTTCTTACTGTTGTGTCACATTAATTAACATGAGTATGGGTGGTCTAAATAATGGCAGTTAAAGTGAAACCAGGTCCAGATGTGCCTAATTAGTCCTGAGTTGCAACTATAATTATATAATTTAAATATAATTTGTAGTTAGGAACTTAGGAAAGTAGAATGCTTCCTTTCATTTGACAATGTGCATGTTGCAACTAAATAGTGTAGTCAGTATTTATTAATTTATTCTTTTAGTCCATTATGTCGAAAAATGAAAGTGGGGCACAGAAACGCAAAAGATGTACACAATTTGCAGCTTCGATGGTGCAGTCAAGCAAACTGATGAGAGCTTTTCTTGCTGGAAGTGATGACATCAGTAAGCTAGCATCTGTTCCTTTTGATGGCAGCAACGAGGTCAATGCGCAAGATTCTGAACATGCTATTTCATTTGAAAAGAAACAACGAAGAAACTATTCTCTGTCCTGTTGAAAGCTACAATAATAATAAACAAGAGGATTCCACTTTGTCCGAAACAAATCCACAGAATAGTGTGTGTTAAGCTAAAAGAGGATGACCTAATAAATATTTTAACACACAGGGATATTGAATTTATGAAGTTTGATACAACAGGCTCAGCAGTAAGACATGCACATCGTACAGAGATTGTTAACGTTGAAGCACATGAATTTCAACATAAAGAAGGTCCATTTGATGCCAAAGATGGGCGTTCTATGACTGCATTTTGGTTCAAACGACGTCTTCTGAATCGACAAGAGGTCAATCGTTCCTAGTTGGTGTATTCACCTCTATATAAAGCAGCATACTGCTTTTGTTGTCTCTTTTTTCATCTACATGTATGGCATCCGATAGTCGGTCTGCTTCCGATGGCCAGGAAGTTGCTGATCTTCAGAACATCACCGATACTTTTGGCGACAGCTTTTCTCGTGCATCTAGCACTTCTGTTTCTTCCCCCACCTTCTTGGGCATCAAGTCTCGGGCAGAGAGATCACCTCTTTCTTTTCGGGCCGATCGTCTCTACGACTATAATCGCCCCTTTTACACTGGTGGAACTGAAACTTGCTCTTCATTGGTCTGGCAGTACATCAGTTGGACCTGACGAAGTTCACTATAAGATGCTGCGCCATATTTCTTCTGCCTCTCTTGACATTCTTCTGGTTGTTTTAACTGGATCTGGCAGGAGAATGTTTTTCCTAATGATTTGCACCAGGCTATTGTCTTCCCTTTCTCTAAATCTGGGAAGGATCCCAAGATTCCTTCTAAATACCAATTGCTCTGACTATCTGTCTCTGTAAGGTCTTGAAGAGGATGGTTAATGCTAGTCTTGTTTGGTTTCTCGAATCAATCCTTTTCTCGCCCACCCAGTGTGAGTTCCATCGTCAGTGCTCCACCATGGACCACCTGATTCGTCTTAACGTCGATCAGAGAAGCCTTTCTCAAGAGGGAACATCTTATTTCCATGTTCTTTGAACTTAAAAAAGCTTACGACACTATGTGGAGGTGTGGCATTTTGTGGGACCTCCATTCATCTGGGTTGTATTCAGAACTTTTACTGGATAGGAGATTCCAAGTCCGTGTGGGTTCGACTCTTTCCTGTTCTTTTCCATCAGGGCTGTGTCTTGAGTGTCACACTTTTTAGTATCAAAATTAATGCTATCACTACACAACTTCCTCCTACTGTTCAGAACAGGCTCAATGTCAACGAATTCCACATTTCGTGTCAGTCGTCGAACATGTGGTTTATTGAGCATCAGCTTCAGACTACCCTCAGTCGCTTGTTGAAGTGGACTACAGCATTCTGTTTTACATTTTCTGTTTCCAAAAACCGTTTGCATGAATTTTTGACAACGATGGGGTTTACTCCCTGATCCCAATGTTGTTCTTCCCATGGTCCCTGAGGCAAAGTTCTTGAGGCTTATCTTTGACTGTAAGCTTACTTTCATTCAACACATCAAGAAGCGCTTTCGGAACAGATGGTCCACAATTCCTCCCTTTGGCCTTCGTATCCAGGCACAACTGGCTGAATTTGTTCTAGTACTGGATGATGTTGCTGTCCCAAATGATCAGGAATCACCATGGCTTATTACCATCCATGACTGTGACCTTTCCTTGAGTCATCTGAGGAAGGTGGATACTCCCGATTGGAAGTATCGTCTTCTGTTTGCTGAACATCTTTTGAACCATTTTTCTCTGCCCGCTTACACGGATGGTTCGAAATCAGGTGACTCTGTGAGCTCTGCCATGGTTTGCAGTGGCTCGGTAGTTGCTCACTGGATCCTCTCTACAGTTTCTGTGTTCACTGCCGAGTTGTATGCTATTTCTCTTGCCCTGGATCATGTAGCGTCTATCCAGTACAGCGACTGTACTATTTACATTGATTCTCTTAACTCTCTCTACTGGCCCTGGAATCGCTTAACGTAGGTTCTCACCCTGTTTTCGTCGATATTCAACAACGACTGGCTCATTTTTCTCTATCTTCTGTTTCCGTCCTGTTTTTCTGGATACCTGGGCATGTTGGTATTCGCATGAATGAGCTCGCTGTTAGCGCAGCTAAGTCCATATGCTCTAGCGTCGTCACGGCCGTGCCTTGCCCCATACGCAGACTATGGTTGGCAGTGGACTGTGGGTGAGTAAGGTTATAACAGGCTTTTCCAGATCAAACTTTCTGTTGCTCTGTGGCCATCTTGTTTCTGTAAGGATCGGAAGTAGGAACTTGTCCTGACAAGGCTACGCATTGGTCAGTTTTTGAACTCATCATGTTCTTTTATCTGGTACTGACCCATCAATGTGTAGCGTTTCTGACACTCAAGTCACCATAGCCCACATTTTACTGTCGTAACAACCGTGAGCGGTGGCACCATTTTAGACATCTCATTTTTTACAAGTTTACCCCTGATGTTGGATGGTGTCATTGGCAATGGTGACACTGTCCAACTTGATTGTATTGTTACTTTTTTTAAGGAAAATTGGCCTTTTAATTATAGGTAAATCTTTTATCTGAATTTTGGACATATTTTAATTTTAACTGAGTTTATTTTTACATTTTACAACAATTTTACTTTTACTGTTTTTACTGGTTGTTTAGCGTAGATAGCTTTGCGCCGTAAAATACCAACCAACCATTTGACATTATTTTTGTTTTCAATATTACTTATTCATCGCTATGGTAACAAGAGGTTGTGTAAATGACCCAAACATATTGTGTTATATTTGCCGTAAATTTGTTGTAAAGAAACAAAGGCAAAGCATTACAGAATTCGTCAAAAAAGCATATTACGCGTATTTTGGAATAAAACTTTGGGACCAAGCCATATCATGGGCTCCACATAAACTTTGCACAGTTTGTCGAAGAACTAAAGGTAAGGACAATGAACTAAGGAAAAAGTCTTTGCCTTTTGGAATTCCAATAGTCTGGCGTGAGCCTAGAAACCTAGGAGATGACTGCTACTTTTGCTCATGTAACGTGCAAGGCTACAACACTCGAAATAAATACGAAATTTCTCATCCGAACCTTGATTCTGCTTTAAGACCTGTTGCTTGTGGACCTGATGTACCAGAACCTACTTCACCAGAGACTCTTGATACAGCTTCATCTGATTTTGAAGTTGGTGTTAATAGAAGTGACTATAGAGATTGTTTTCATCCTGAAGCGTCTGGTGAACAAAAACTTTTCATACAAGATGAACTTAATGATTTGGTGAGAGATTTGGGCCTTCCAGAAGATTCTTCAGGTGATTTTGTGGTCCAGACTTCAGGCTAAGAACTTACTTTCTCGAGGTACATCATTTTACTGGTACAAAAATCGTGAGAAAGAGTTTTATACCCTACTTTTCGCAAGAATGTTCACTGGTTTATTGCAACAATATTGCTAAATTAATACTAATGCTATGAGCTGCAGTCTATGAACCAAGTGAGTAGCGATTGTTTATTGATTCCTCCAAAAGAAGTCTAAAAAGTGTTCTGCTGTTCCTATTGCTCATTCGGTTCACTTGAAGGAAGCGTACGAAAATCTCGAACTTCTTCTTAATAAGGTCAAATACAAAAACATGGTTGGTTACTTTGTAAAGGCTTAAGTCCTTTGTATGTTGTTTGGTCAACAATCCCGTTATACAAAGTTTCTATGTTTTTTGTGTGACTGGGACAGCAGAGCATGAAATCAGCACTGGATAAAGAAGCAATGACCACGCAGAGTCAGCCTGATACCAGGATCGAAAAACATTGAAAGTTTAAGTTTGGTTGGTACAAAAAGTCGTATTACCTCCACTTCGCATAAAACTGGGTTTAGTGAAGCAGTTTGTAAAGACCTGAGACAAAGATAGCGACTGTTTCAAGTATCTATGTGGGCAATTCCCAGCGCTTTCAGAAGCGAAACTTAAAGAAGGGATTTTTGTTGAGCCTCAGATTAGGAAATTGACTTCGGATGAACAGTTCGAAAGGACAATAAGGAAAGTTGAAAAAGAAGAGTGGATTGTCTTTAAAGATGCTATTGACAAGTGTTTTAGGAAACAACAAGGACCCAAATTACGAAAATATTGTCAATAACATGCTCGATAAATTCAAATAGTTGGGTTGTAATATGAGCTTGAGAGTTCATTTCTTACACTTTCATCAAGACATCGGGGAAGTGGAGAGTAGGTATCGGGAAGGTGGAGCATCATCATGATGGCCGATTACTGCTGGTCATATAAACGAGATGCTCCAGACGCAATACATAAAAGAAAGACTACAGCACGTAGTTTTGAGACTAAAAGACGTAATTTCACGTTTTTTTCCCCGATTTATAAAAAAAATCCTTACGTGATAGTAAAAAATGAATATTATTTTCGAAAACTGTGTAGCTGAATTATGGAAAATTCGTTATTAAAAACTAACTTTTATGAAGTTTAAATTCGCAGGCCTGTGTTGTTTAATTCTTCAAAAACAACAACAACAAAAAACATGCTTGCGAGTATGTTATGCAAGCCATACACTAAATCAACAATATATTTTATAATCTCGTTAAAGAATAATAATATGATTGCCCTCCTACGTAGTTTATTATAGTGTTACTCTTACATGGCTCAATGGTAATTCAGAAATCTTGTAACGCTAAAATCCGGGTTTCGATACCCGTTAATGACACAATACAGAGAATCCACCGTATGTGTAGCTTTGCGTTAACAAAAACCAAACCGACTGCGTCATCTGTACTTCAATATTTTAGTATGGAATTACAATTGTACGATTGTTTTAAAAATGTTGATAATGAAGTTTAGTACCTGTTGGAGTTTTATTCCATTTTTGTAATAACTGGATATCATAACAAACTAAAAATATATTAGCAGACCCGTACGCAGAATGTTTGAAAGGGAGGTTCTAATTTGAGAGATCAAAAGCAAACACATATTGTATGAAGCGCAATCAATATCAAAATCTACCGGGGTCTAGTGGCATGCGACTATTTCAAGCCAAAAAATGCTAAAACTTCGTCAGAAGAATGTGAAGTAAACTATGTAGAAAACGTTAAATACCATAAGCAGTTGCATTATAATTACATATAAATGATGTTTTTGATTAGATATTCAAAAGTTTGTTAAAATACTTACGAGAAACAAGAATTGTAATGACAACAGAGTCCCTCTAGTGTTAATATGCTGTTATTATAGTGAGACTGGACGATTAACAAGTCTTCCACACTGTGATAGAAGTCAGTATTCGAAAGTCCCATTTGTTGGTTCCAACTTGACATTATTTCTGTGTTTTGAAAGCTGTCGTTGTAAATGTCGCTGTATTCACAAAGCGTATGTTTTGTTCTAGGCCGAAGTAGGGAGTCCGACTTTGACTGACGGATGTGAAAACCTGAAAATACAAAGTGAGATTTATCAATGAGCATTCTCAAAACATGTGCAACCAGTATTTGTTGAATTTAACTAGGCTTTTCTGAACATCGTATATATCAAGAATATAAAACTGTTTTTCTATCCTCAAGTGACAAAAAAGGACATTTTTAACTAATTTTGTTTTTCCAAAAGAAACATTTATTGCACTAATTCTAGTAATACATGATAGAAATTGCAAAGGTATACGTTTTTAATTTGTAGAAATATAACCTTTTTTTCATATTTGACGGCATTTTGTGACCTCCTTAATAGAGAATGGCATGCTTGAATATCTCCTAAACATGCATTTTAGTGTTATTAACAAATATGTAAATATCTCGGATATAAGCTGACCTTAACATATTCTTCAATTTACTAAAGCTTAAGTATTCTTAAATAGAAAGAATTGTTAATGAAATGGTAACCATGGCACAAGTTTTTTTGTTGTTGTTGAACCTTGGTTATGGCGGCGTGTTATTTTGGACCGTTACAATACTAAATTGATACAAATATAGACCAATAACGTTAGCTACAAATGAATAAAAACAAACGAATGAATAAAATAAATATCATAAAGTTCGTTAAACACAGATTATGATAGATGGATAAACAGATAGAAGAATTGACAGTTTCCAAAACTGACCGAAAGATTGACAAAATCTGCTAACCAGATAGAAAAAAAAATCAATAAAGAGATATATATAAATAAAGAGCACTTAGACTACAGCTGCTAAAGATCTATCTAACAGATGAGTTGACATTTCTGTCTTCACAGATAGAAGAAGAAATTAGTGACGTCAAGGAAAATATTCATTTACTGTTTTATGAAGTGATTTTAGACGAGCTATAAAAGAAAACAGGTTGGCTCAAATAAACCATACGTTGGTAAATGGTGTTCTTATGTAATTTTAAAAATGTGGAATAATCACATTCTATAATGCGTTTTCTCTGTGAGCGTATTTGTGATATTGCAATATTTTGAAATTCGACAATCTATAAAAATAAGACTGCTGTTGATTTCGTTGAGGAAATACCAGCCTTGCATACGAAACTATTTTTCTTAGGTTTAAAGAGTTGTACTGTAATCAGCTGTGATGGTCCTACCTATTATATTTAGCAAATCAATTAATAGGGTAGAATTTTATGAATTATGTCTTATTCAATACCCGTGATCTTCGATTGTACTAAGTTACAACTTAAAATTGTGTGCCTATTAACTTATTACTGGCATGAATCAACATAAAAAAAAATAATTTCAAATTTTCCTAAAAACTAAATTTAGAAATTCAAATACTGATTACTACGATGACACAGGTTAAAATAAACAATGTAAAATCATTTATTATGATATAACTTGAATTAAACCACTATAAGTGAACCAAAGCTCAAGAAAAGACTGAAATCTTCTATGACGAAAAAGTGGAATTATTACCAAAGTGAAAGCAAGATTAGACCATATAATTCCTTCAAATATACAATAACTAAATATTCTCACAATGTCCTATGCAACACTCAAAATAGCAAATTCCACTAAAATAAACCACACTTTGCTACAGCTTTAGTTATGTAACATACAGTGCCTTGCAAAAGTATTCGCCTATTATCAATAATGTCACATTTTGATGAAATACAAATCTCTAATGAACTTTTTTTGTTCAAAACTAATCATAACATTTCAAATATATTGAAATATTCTGATTGCATAAGCATTCAGTCCCCTAAGAAGAAGTACCTTTGGTAGTAATTACTGCTGTGAGTCTTTACCAGCTTTACACAGTGGGATGGTGTAATCTTTGCCTATTCGTTCGGGGAAAATTGCTTCAATTCTGAGAAGTTCGTTGGGGTACATTGATGGACTGCAATCTTCAAGTCTTGCCATAAATTTTCTATTGGATTCATGTCAGGACTTTGACTGGGCCACTCCAGAACATTCACTTTCATTTTTTGAAACCACTCCAGTGTAGCTTTGGCCTTGTGCTTCGGGTCATTGTTCTGCTGAAATGTGAATTTTCGACCCAGTTTTAACTCGAGCAGGTTTTCCTCTAGGATTCGCCTGTACTTTGCACCATCCATCTTCCTCTAAATCCTGACAAACTTCCCAGTCCCTGCTGATGAGAAGCATCCTCTTAACATGATGCTGCCACCACAATGCTTGAAAGATAGGATGGTGTTAACTGGGTGATGTGTTGTGCTTGTGTCAGACGTAACGCTTTCAATTTAGACTAAAAAACTCAATTTTTGTCTCGTCCGACCACAAAACCTTCTGCCACATGTCTGCAGTATCATTAACATACTTTGTCGCAAACTTCATACGAGATTTAAAATGATTCTTTTTGAGTAATAGCTTCTTTCTTGCCACTCGCTCCTACAGGTCAGCTTTGTGTAGGGTCAGAGATATTGTCCATGTAGGAACACTGACTCCCATCTCAGACATGTAACTTTGCAAATCTTTTAAAGTCACTGTTGGCTTCACAATGACATCCCTAATCTGGTTCCTGCTTGCCCGGCGGCTTGGTTTGGAAGGGCGGCCTGATCTGGTTAGTGACTGGATGATTACCTTTTACCCTTCTTAATCATGGACTTCACCGGACTCAAATATATAATCAGCGACTTAGACTTTTTTATAACCTTCTCCTGAGCTGTGCTTCTCTACCACTCCCTCTCTCACTTGTTTGGAAACCTCCTTGGTCTTCATGGTTGGTTTGTCGTATCACTATGCGAGTTGTGGCTTGAAGAGAAACCACTTTGATTACACACACAGACCATTACACTAATTTTGTGACCTTTCAAAGTGATCTTTTGCACCTGAACTGATTTAGGGTTGCCGTAATAGAAGGTTTGAATTACTTATGCAATTGCGATTATTCTAATTTTCGTTTCTTTGAAAATGTAACTCATTTACATAATATCAACGTTTTTGTAGTTTTCTCAGTTAGGAATATATTATGTAGATTATAAATATAAAGTCCCCTTTTACAGTTTCATATTGAAGCTCAGGTGGCAACAATATTGTGGAAACTTTGCAGGGAGGGTGAATACATTTTTTGTAAGGCACTGTTCAAATTTCAGTTTCTTAAGATAGGGAAGCATTTAAGTAGAAATTCGTCTATTTTTTAGACCTTCATATTAACTTGGTTCATTATAAGGATCAGTTCATTTTTTACCATATTTTCACAATTAAACTATACTCCGTTTGTGATAGGTTAGGCTTAGTCATCAGTTCTTAAAAAATATTGTGCTTTTTTTTATATTTCAAAGAACAGAGATTTACGTTTTCTCGTGGTGGAGGGGGAAGAGGTAATCTCGTTACTACAGAAACCATAAGTGAGATTTCTCCTTCAAGGTTAGAGAAAGGTAATTTAAGAGTGGTATATTACAACGTTTTTAATGTGCCAATCAGCGACTCTTAGATCATACCAAAGTTGAGAGTGTATTAGATAATTATAACATGTCGGACTTCATGAAAGGCTGCAATTTACAGCTCTTTCAATGACTTTTCCTCTTCAGTAATCCAACCAGAATTTATCTTAGTGATTTAAATCATATATCATCGTTCACAATTTTCAGAAACTGCCATAGAAATATTTTCGAGATTAATGTTTGTCTATACATACTTGTACAATTTAAAGTTAACTCACTTTATAAATCATGTAATAAACACATTACGTATTAAGTCACACTTAATGTTGCCTAGACTGTGAGTCCTTAAGTTCATGGTTTCTGTCCTGTTACCACAAAAACAAATGCTCTGCACATTGGGGTTGAGAGTTAACTATAAGATCGATGGTCAAAGTTTACTATTTGATCACATGAGACTAGCCCAAAAATTTGCAGTGTATGCTGTTGGTTAGCTGCCTTCCCCTTTGTGTATTAGTTCAAAATAAGGAACGGCAATGCATAAATATTCCTTGTGTAGCTTTGCGTGAAAATTCTAAAAAAATAGTTAAGTTTTGTTTTTCTTTCTTTTTTTCGCATCAAACAAGCAAAAATTTCTCAGTTTATTCTCTGGTTTAAGCTATCTATTGTCTAACAACGTAAACAAAACGAAATGCATATACAAGAAGAAGGAGAGTCACAAGTCGTTCGCAGATCTTACAACTTGATATTGATAACTATATTTTTGTTCATATTAAAATTAGATGGTCTCGATGTTGCTCGTATAAAAGATCACGCTATCGTCATCACCAAATTAAGATACTTTATGATGTCATCTATATAGTTGCGTATTTGAATACTTTATTCCGAGAGGATTCAAACTCGACATTTTGCAAACTCCTTGTTTGATAAAATCTGTATCCATGGGCCTTGTTACTTTGCTGGTATTTCCAAACAAGTCTCTCATAACAGTATTCAATGGGTTCTTTATGGTTCCTGTAAGCAGTTAGGTGGCACAAATCTTCAAGGAAACAGTTTTAAAACATGCACAGTGTGAATATTTCATTGCTACAACCTAAAAGAAAAAAATATCTAATCTTTTCCAATCTAATTATGTACGATAAACTAAAATGTGTGAATACTTCGTAAAGTGACTCAACTTGTTACTGTCTGTCAAGATCTTCACACTCATATTGACGCATTTTTCTTACTTTTTGAATTTGTAATATTTATAGAGATTTAAGTTTTCTTTCCTTAAATTATTCATTCACTTTTTTAATAACGTCTTTTTCACTACTACTACTGCATAGGATATAAAGGAAGCCTAAAACTTGAATACAGGAGAAGAAAAAAGAAGGGATGAAATTATATAAATTGACAAATCAATAATCTCTTTCGGTGTATTTTGTGCAGACCCAATAAAATGAATAAGTCACCTTTCAATGTGTGTGCGTAAAGCAATGACAGACAGACAAAAACACCCACATTATTATTGTGTTCTTATTGATTTAAAACGGTTAAAAGTGTTAACTTTAAATATATAAAAAATATTAAAATTTTGTTTAAGTTTTTAAAAGTATTACGCACGAATAATATAAAGGATATCTATAGAGCAGCAATTATGATCAGTTACACATACCATCTTTTACTATGTATCTTATTCGGTAACTTCTGATGTGTTGCGACATAAATCAAGTTTAAGAAATATTACACCATCGTATCCTAGCGGACCTTAAGAGTCCAGCATTCGGTGAAAGCCCTCGTCGACACAGGATATATCGGGTATATTGTGGTTGACATACTCTACACTCTTCTTTACTTCAATTTCGAAATTCCTGTTCATAGATACGCACCTTCTTATTTGTTCTATGAGATCAAGCCAGATTATGCTTTGTAAACCGTTATGGAATATTGCAACTAAAAATGTTAACTTGCAGGTATCAACTTGTTTTACATTACGACTATTTTAAGAATTCAAACTGGGCATATTCTACAATCGAAATTCATACATTTTGGGAAATGTTTGTTCCGTTAAGTGATTCAGGTTTCAAACTTTTATGTTTCCATATTTAGATACAGCTAGTCCTGAAGTGGAAACATTGGACAGTGCAGATACTTCCACATTTTGTGTTTTTATCTTTCCTAAACGACAGTTATTTTAACCAAAGAACTTACTAAACAATTGTTAATGTTTTAAATATTTAATGTACGACATAGATCTTAATTGTTATAATACTAACTGACGTATAAGTTCAACAAAGGGGATAAACATAGGAACCCCAGCGGTGATAGAGGTTAGATTCCAATGTCTAACCTCCCAGGTCATTCCTCGGGGTGTTCTAAGGGTACTTTCCAGGTTTGGGGACAATTGATCCAGCGGCTCACCAGTTATAACCAGATAAACATACTCGGTCTTTTATCAAATAATGGTTTTGACTGTTATGGTGTGAACGTCTTTTTCCAGCTGGCGAAGCGTCATAATCAATTTGCTTGTCATTAGACATTAGTATTATGTCTATTATATTTTTATAACATTGTATTCTATATCTTGTCCTTTAAGGATTTTCGAGAATTAGAAGAATGTATTGAAAAAGTATTGCAACTACACTATTTCGCTGTATCTGTTACTGACATAGATTATTATAATGTTTAATGTACAACATAGTATGTAAATTAGAAAATGCAGACATTTTGCCTTGGTAGATTTCCCTTGTCATTTAAAAAAGTGGAAAGGACAGATGCTAATTAAATCAAATTGAACGGATAATTATTACTAAAAGAACCTTGAGGAGATTAATGGTGGGAGTACAGTCTGTGCCAAACTTCTCTTGCGTTTTCCACTCCCTTAGTTAATATGTAATTTATTTTCGAAACTTCTGTTTTTCTTTCAGTTCAGTTCCGGTTTTGCTTCCTCCTAGCTCTGTCCAGTACTTCGTACAATTAGTCAGACTTTTGCCGAGTATTAGCTTTCAGATTTTGATAAAAATTTATATTTTTACAAATCTTGGAGATTTTTCAGAGATCTTAGATTTGGGATCTTCGAAAGATTTTGCAAAAACTTTTAGAACTTTGATAACGTCTGAAACTTTGTAATTTTTGTTTTAACTTTTATTTTAACTTGGGTTTAGTTTTATACATAGTGTTGTACTGAACTGATGATAGACAACTCACAGAGGTTTCAATTTTCTCGCCAGTCCAACATACTTGCTCTAAGTGTTTGATAGTGTAATTGTGCTTATGTCAGTAAACCTTGTACTTGTGCACCCTTTGGCTTCGAGTCTTTCTTTCAGTCGATATCGGTTGGATGTCGGAGAAATACCCAGTCATACTCCGTAGTCTCATTCGTGATGTCAGAAAAACACGTAGGTTCGAGAAGTCTCGATACGAGATGATAAAAAAAACCATGATCCGAGCGCTTTCGAAAGGTGGACCTTTCTTCTTTAGGGGCAAACTGGGATTTCGGTATGATGATGTAAATTACCACGTGGGTGCTTTTGGCGATATCATAGCTAATTTCAAAGGAGTGCTGCTGGTAACAAAGCTCTTACAAGACGTTACGTTTACTAACACGTCAGGTAAGCAACTGACTAGGTCAGAGAATACACGATCCACGTATTTTCACAGTTACATGCGCAGAAGCAGATACTGTAAAATTTATCATTTGTGGCACTGCCAATAAAAGTAGTAAAGTTTGAACGGATCAAATGCGAAGCTAGAAGTTTTACCGCTTCTACTGACTAAAATATTAAGGCTTTATTACGTAAACGTAAATTCGTTTTTGAGGGGGAGAAGTACCTTAAATTTAAGATTGTTGCGGTAAAACATAGAGCATACATAGTTGTTTTGCTCCTTCATAATCATTTTAATATGGCCCTCTACTTTATCGTTACGAAACATTTAAGAAGTATTATGAGAAGTTTGTTCGCTACTTATTAGTTCCTATTAAACCACAAGTGAGATATAATATATATTAATATGGATATATATATTTATTTTTAAATTATCTCATGCACACACTGGTAGAACTTTAAAGCCACTATCCTAAAAACTAAACCAATGTTGCAACTTATGAGTATCCTGTCTTAAATTCATTTTTACATAACGCGCCCGTTACTTTAGGAAGATATAAACACCAAGATAGAAGCTTGTAGTTTATTCTTTGAGCTAAATGACGTAGGGTTGACATCTCTCACCAACTGAAACAATGAAGTCAACCTGGTTCTGTATATAATGAAATGCACCCAATAATGCCCCCCCCCCAGTGGCACAGCAGTATGTCTGCGGACTTACAACGCTCGAAACCGGGTTTCGATACTCGTGGTGGGCAGAGCACAGATAGCTCTTTGTGTAGCTTTGTGCTTAATAAAAAACAAACAAAAGCACTCAACAAAGTTTGTTTATAGAAATTACTTAAACTTTTCAAAAGTCATTTTTAACCTGATGATTGATTACCTAAGGAGGTCGAAACGTTATTTGATTTGTTTTAAATATGTTTTTGATACCCATATCTCTGCTAAATATATAAAACTTATTTGTCATGGATATTTGCTAAGATTAACAAGTGTGTATCTAAACAAACGAAAAAGAAAAACTCGCCCAAAGCGGCAGTAATATATAGATATGATGATAAATAATATGTGACGTACTAATCTCCTATCGCCTATAATAAGGAATTATCAACGAATTAACTGCCTGTAACAGCAGCTAAAATGGGTCTCATGTAAAGACCACTTGCTGTTTCCTACCTTGTACTTTAATTCATTCGATGACAGGTAAAACAATTGCTGTGTGTGTGTGTTTCCTTATAGCAAAGCCACATCGGGTAATCTGCTGTGTCCACTGAAAGGAATCGTTGTAAATTCAAAGACTTACCGCTGTCCCATCGGGGGACACTATGAATGAGTAAACACGTTATTTTTTTAACTGTTACACTACAAAGCCATAACTAGAAATAGTTTAACATTCAGACAACTTTTCAACTGTGCACTGTTGTATTGGTGTGAATCCCCATTCTTTGCTAGTCATTTCACGTCTCCGGGTGTTAATTCAATACCTAACCTTATATTCAGTCGATTATCAACTAGTTCTTTCAATTTCGAGCAGTATGACCTATGTTAATTACATGGTCAGTCAATTCTTTAAAACGACTGCATTATATACAATTTAAACATGGCGCCCCCGGTATTAACGGAGAGTTTCTTTAAATAGTTTTGAATTCACATTAAGTTCAGTATTGTTTTATAGTACTGATTTTGATCGCCTATTGATAATTAATCTAATTGATTTAATAGTATTGAAGCTATACTAGACATTCTAACAAATAAAAAATAAAAACCCTTAAGTGGCTAAAGGTAGAAAACACATTTTTGTGCATGACGAAGTGAAGATATTTAAAAAGTCATTTATGTAATAAAAAATGGAGAACTATTAATGATATTCGCGATAGTAAGTGTTTTTATACTCGTGTGATGGCATAGAAACTTAAAATATATGCAGATTTATTTACGTTAATTCAGAGTTACAAAGTTCAGAATTCTTTATATATATCATTAGAGTAATAATTCTGCTAAATAATGTATTTTGATTTATGGAAACTTTACCAAGAGTATCTGCCGCTGTCCCTAATGTTGAACTACTGATCAGAGGGAAGGCAGTCATTCTGTAGCTCCATACCACCCACCATCCATCTTTATATATCATTAGAGTAATAATTCTGCTAAATAATGTATTTTGATTTATGGAAACTTTACCAAGAGTATCTGCCGCTGTCCCTAATGTTGAACTACTGATCAAAGGGAAGGCAGTCATTCTGTAGCTCCATACCACCCACCATCCATGCTAAGGGATTGACTGTCACTCTTGTAACTATAGTTTTAAAGTGTAGGTAACTGGTTGCTTACCAGCTCCGAAATTCACATGGCCAACCCGCAGCCAAAGAATATGCCAGTGTCTTACCAGACAAAACAACTGACGTCATATATTTTTTATATGTACCTTAAGGACAATGTGTTCTGTTTGTAAAATGTCTAAAAGACAATTTTACTGAACAAATAACCACTATAGTCACCATACGCCCACATCTTAGCAACTACTAACATTAATATAACACAAGTCTTCACGTGTCGCGAGAGGACATGTGCGTCTTCTCGGAATTCCTCTACTTACACTGATGAAACGAAACTAGATGAAACTTCTGGGTGTTACATATGTATATAGAGAACAAAAAATGATTTAGATACATGAATAAATTCAATATACGTGTAAATTAAATTCACCTTGTTAATACTGTCTTTGAATAAAAAAAAATACCCCAAAATATTTTATAAATTTTTCGCTAAATCTTGTTGGTAGTTCAAAGAACTATTTTAAGATATCTGAAAACATAACAATGTGCTATTTATGATATGTCATTATTTGGCGAGGGTGAGGGGAGGAGCATAGTAAGTCCGTACAGAAAAAGCATTAAAAATAATAGTCCACTGCGAAACTGCAATTCAAAGGTTGATATCAATGTTTTTAGATATTGGTTTATAAAAGCAAACATGAGCTTACTTTTAACAAAATTAACCTTACAGTAATTGAACTTGAAAGAAAACAGAAGTTACTTAAGGTTGGGGTTTTTAGAGTAACAATTTAGACATCGTAAAAAATGGATAGAAAACAGTAAATTAATCACATGTTTACATTGATTAAACGAACTTGAATCACTATATCCTGAAGCTCTTTTCTATGTGCTAAACATAATTTTCCATAAGAAAAAAAAAATTACATATTGTTTCTTTAAACTAAAGTTTCTTTATACAACAATATGATGGAAACCAGACTTAGTTACGTACAGCATTTTTGGAGTTTAATGATTTTA